CACCAAGAGAAGCCACTGCAGTGAGAAGCTGGAGCATTTTAACAAAGAGTAGCCTCAGCTGACTGCAACTAGGGAAAGCCTGAGCAGCAATGAAGGCCCAGCGTAGCCAAAAATAAATTAATTAAATTAAAATTTAAAATAATTTTTTAAAAAAGAGCCAAATCTCCCCTGTCCATCTCTGCGTCATGTAGCTCTGTGACCCTCACGCAGCTCACTTTACACCACACCGGGTCTCAGCATCCTTAATGATAAACGTGAGATGGTTATCTACCACCCCTTCCGGTTTCAACATCTGTGTTAGGGTGTGTTTTACTAGCAACATTCTTGGGCTTGCTCTGTGCGAAAAAGCTGAAAGCAGATTATCAAAGTGAAGTCTGCAGGAAGCCTGCTGGATTTTAATGCAGCCTCGCAAATAATCTAGAAACACTTACCAACCTGCAGCTGATTCCAAAGTATCATGACAAGGTTTTTGGACTTGATGGCAGGAGACAGTCTAGACCCAGAAGTGGAACTATGCCTTGGACCTATGCCGAGGGGCATTTGGAAGTTTTTATATCATTCATTTTGTTCATCTGCCCTCCCCCCATCTACCTCCACCAATGCTGGCCAGATGTTCCTGCAGAANAGCTTTAGCTTTAGTCCTTCCAATGAATATTCAGGGTTGATTTCCTTTAGGATTGACTGGTTTGATCTCCTTGCAGTCCAAAGGACTCTCAAGAGTCTTCTCCAACCTCACTGTTCGGAAGCATCAGTTCTCCAGCGCTCAGCATTCTTTATGATCCACCTCTCACATCTGTACATGACTACTGGAAAAACCATAGCTTTGACTATACGGACCTTTGGCGGCAAAGTGATGTCTCTGCTTTTTAATACACTGTCTGGTTTTGCCCTAGTTTTTCTTCCGAGGAGCAAGCACCTTTTAATTTCATGGCTGCTGTCACCGTCCACAGTGATTTTGGAGCCCAAGAAAATAAGTCTGTCACTGTTTCCATTTTCTCCCCATCTATTACGTTAACACAGTTTCATCAAGACAAACCATCTTAGTTCCTACAGCCAGGGTGTTGCATAGGGACCCACACCCAGAAAGGGGACCTTGAACTCAAAGTGTAACACTCTGTGGTTACCATCTTGAAATTCTGCAGAATTTTATCTTTGTGGGTTTTGTAAGTGAAGCCGCATGGAACCGTGGAACATGCGCCTGGGGATTCGGAGCGTGGCTTCTAACGTGCTCACACCTCCTGCCACCACTCTGCCTCTGAGAAATGTTTGCTCTTGGCCCTGCAACCTCGGGAGCTGGTTCTGCCTTCAGCCACCCTCGGTCCATCTCTGATCCACTGCACCCACTTTGTATGCACTGTGGTGTGGACTCAGGGGAGAGGCGGACACAGACAGGAAGGAGGGGGCCCCTGGCCTTGGAGGACAGAGTCTAGTGAGTAAACCGCGTCGTGCCCAGAGGGCTGTGCGCGTGCCACCACGCCATGGGCATGCAGAGGGGGTTGGGGCTGCTGTTAGCAGGGGAGCCTGATGGAAAAGGTAGCTTCTGAACTGGGTGCTGAAGAGTGAGCAACATTTCAGCAAAAGAGGAGGCAATGAGAGTGTGCAAGGGGAAGGGCCACATGGGTCGTAAAGCTTATTTAAGTGGCTGCTGAACAGTGAGCCCAGCTGGGGGTGGGGCATGGGGGCCCAATCATGATGTGATGAAAAGGAAGCTGGTCTCCGACTGCGGAGACCCCCCGCCCCCGACCCCCACTTCCTGTGTCTCTCCTCTTCTTTAAACTGCAGTTTGGGGTTTCCTCATCTATAAAATGAAGTGAAAAGTGAAAGTGTTATTCGCTCAGTCATGTCTGACTCCTTGCAACCCCATGGACTGTTGCCGCCAGGCTCCTGAGTCCATGGGATTCTGCAGGAAAGAATGCTAGGATAGGTTGCCATACCCTTCTCCAGAGGATCTTCCTGATCCAGGGATCGACCCCGCTTTCATGCTTTACAGGTAGATTCTTTACCAACTGAGCCACCAGAGAAGCCCATATAAAATAAAGGAGTTGGAGTAAATGCCTTTCTGCTTCTAACACCCTTTGGTTCCACACACAGGCCACTCTCCATAAAGCAGCCCAATCCATCAAGGCTCTTCCTTGCAGCTCACCCTTGCAGTGACCTTAGCAATGGACTCTTATTCCACCTGGGACCTCCCTCCACTCACCTCACTTGTTCAATATCTGTATGAGCAGGTAGCCTGCATATTCTTAGTTTATGGAGATGGTGCTTGGGCAAGTGGGTGCAGGGGCGGGGTGCGGTTCATAAATTGTTTCTTTTTTTTCCCCCAGTTATTTTTATTAGTTGGAGGCTAATTACTTTACAATATTGTAGTGGTTTTTTGCCATACATTGACATGAATCAGCCATGGATTTACATGTGTTCCCTATCCTGAACCCCCCTCACACCTCCCTCCCCATCCCANATCCCTCTGGGTCATCCCAGTGCACCAGCCCCGAGCACTTGTCTCATGCATCCAACCTGGACTGGCAATCTGTTTCACACTTAATAATATACATGTTTCGATGCTGTTCTCTCAGATCATCCCACCCTCGCCTTCTCCCATAGAGTCCAAAAGTCTGTTCTATACATTAAATTGTTTCTTGATAGCCTCTCCATCCCAAATTATTTCATGGCATCTGTCTTTTTTGGAAGGGAGAAGGCGGTATAATTCTAGTTGCATGGATGCCATATTTTTTGTGTTGTTCAAGTTTCATTCTGTTGGGCCTGCAAGATTAAAGGGGAAAATCACTTTTATCTGGAGTTGGGGTGGGGAGATTAGTTATTCCATGGGAACCATTTTCCCAGGATCATGCCGTTCCTGGGGGGCCATCTCTAGGTAGGGGCAGCAAAGCTAAAATCCTTTGCTCAGCCTTGACCTTGAAAGAATCAGTTGTCCAGAGATTGGTTCCCATGGAAGGAAGATGCTCCCCTTATCAGAGAAACAGGCTGGGAGCCAGGAGCAGGAAGCTGGAGGAAAGTGACAGCAGCGTTGCTGGCCTTTGGGGACACCAGAGCAGCTCTTCAGGCAAAATGGGGAAAGAGGTCACATCTGTGAGTCCTGGGAGCGAGTTAGCTTGGGCGGGCTCAGACGCAGATTCTGAGCCATGGTTTTTCTCCTCTTTTTTAGAATTGGTATTTATTTTTATTTATTTATTTGGCTGGTCAGGTTTACAGCACACAGGGTCTTCTAGTTATGGCATGCAGAATCTTTAGTTGTGATATGTAAAATTTTAGTTGTGGCATGTGGGATCTAGTTCCCTGCCCAGGGATCGAACCCAGGCCCCCTGCATCAGGAGTGCAGAATCTTAGCCACTGAACCAGCAGGGAAGTCCCAGGACTGATTTTCTCTGTCTTGTGCCACGTTTGTTTATTTCCCTTCTCTTCTTCCCCTGGGTTTTGTAGTCTTTCTGGAAATACCAATCAGGAGTGCAGAATCTTAGCCACTGGACCAGCAGGGAAGTCCCAGGACTGATTTTCTCTGTCTTGTGCCACGTTTGTTTATTTCCCTTCTCTTCTTCCCCTGGGTTTTGTAGTCTTTCTGGAAATACCCAAGGTGAGCCAAGGGAAGGATTTGATTTTCCATGCTTAGAGCTTTAGAGAGGAAACGACAGAGCCCCGGGGACGGTGAGGCAGCTGCAATGGTGGTGACAGAACGAGCACCCGTGGCGGGTGGGGCGAGGCGCAGGGCGCTGGGGAGGGTCTGAGGAGCGGCCACCCCTCCCGTATCAGAACCCGCTCCTTCCAGGGCTGTGCTTCCAGGGCTGTGCTCTAGGGAGGGAGTGACCAGCATGAAGGTATGTGGAGATCAGCCCTCTAATTCCACACGGACTCGGCAGAAACCCCAAGTGGAGGCTCCACTATGGCAACAGAACGAAAGCGTTGATGGGTTAAGATGCCACTGAACCAAGGAGACGGCAGAGTTAGAAACAGAACCGTTGAAAGAGGAGCGTTTCATAGTGGGAAACTTAAAACATTAGACAAGAGAAATCGACAGGGACTCTTGCTCTTCAGGGCAAGTGCAGCCCATTCATTTGAGCTGAGACTCCACCTTCTGCAGGCTGTGCTTCGGGGGGTCTGCTGTCTTGGGAAGGGAGCATCTGGGGATCAGGTGGGCACGTTGGCAAGCATGTCCATCAGAGAGCTCAGCAGAGAACCCTGACACTCAGGCCGTCTCACAGAGTGAGACATTACAGGGGCAGGAGTACTGCTCTGCCGGGCTGGCCAACGATGACCCCTCTCTGATGCTGCAGATTGAAGGCAGCTGGCCCAACCCCAGCCTCAGGGTATTCACTCCTTCCAGAGACCCCAGGGGCCGCAGCGAAGTGGGCAAAAGAACTCTGATACTTGACACAATTGCAAGGCTGCCGCTGCTGATATTTTTAAATTAGAAACATAGTGTATGCACCTTTAGAATTTTCAGGTTCCGTTTCTTCATGAGATGGAGCGAGATGTGGTCTTTCCAGGCTCAAGGGACATTTACAGAAACGACAGGATGTCACGCTTACCCAGCAGAAGGCTGCAGATGATAGACCTCAGGTGCATAGGTGACAGGTACTGTCCATCCGAGAAAGATCCAGGCTGAATGCCCAGAGGTGACTTCCTGTGCCACTTTAGGTCCTCAGCCCTTCAGTGATTTTCTTTGTCTTTGTGAGACAGGTTATTTTGCCCTCTCTCTCTTACACACAACACACACACACACCCCTCTTTCCCTCTCACCCAGCCACACTGCTGGAAGGATTGTTGGGGTGAAGGCACTTGGACATCTAGGAGAGTAAGAGGGGAAGGGGAGCGGAATAGACAGCCTCTGTCTCTGGCCATCACAGAGGCTTTTTGATGCTCTCCTTGTATTGTGGTACTCAGCTCTGTCCTGCCTCACAGGGATCCCCAGGCTCAGGTATCTGGTCCAGAAATGACACAGATGCAGCCGCCACCACCTGCTATTAACACCCGTGTTTCCTTTTCAGATCTTACAGGTGAACAAGGTGATGTCCATCTTGTTTTATGTGATGTTTCTCGCTTATCTCCGTGGCGTCCAAGGGAACAGCATGGATCAAAGGAGTCTGCCGGAAGACTCCCTCAACTCCCTGATTATCAAGCTGATCCAGGCAGATATTTTAAAAAACAAGCTCTCCAAGCAGATGGTGGACGTTAAGAACTACCAGAGCACCCTGCCCAAAGCAGAGGCCCCGCCCCGAGAGCCCGCCAAGTCGGAATTCCAGCCGGTGACGGCCGCGGGCCCCGAACTGCTGCGGCAGCAGAGACGCTACAACTCGCCCCGGGTCCTGCTGAGTGACGGCATCCCCCTGGAGCCCCCTCCCCTGTACCTCATGGAGGACTACGTGGGCAACCCCGTGGTGGCCAACAGAACGGCGCGGAGGAAGAGGTACGCGGAGCACAAGAGCCACCGGGGCGAGTACTCGGTGTGCGACAGCGAGAGCCTGTGGGTCACCGACAAGTCGTCGGCCATTGACATTCGGGGACACCAGGTCACGGTGCTGGGGGAGATCAAGACCGGCAACTCCCCCGTCAAACAATATTTCTATGAGACGAGATGTAAGGAGGCCAGGCCTGTCAAGAACGGTTGCAGAGGAATTGATGATAAACACTGGAACTCGCAGTGCAAAACCTCTCAGACCTACGTCCGCGCGCTGACGTCGGAAAACAACAAACTGGTCGGCTGGCGGTGGATACGGATAGACACATCCTGTGTGTGTGCCTTGTCGAGAAAGATCGGCAGAACATAACTTGGCATCTCTCCCCATATATAAATTATTACTTTAAATTATATGATATGCATGTAGCATATAAATGTTTATATTGTTTTTATATATTATAAGTTGACCTTTATTTATTAAACTTCGGCAACCCTTACAGTATATAAGCTTTTTTCTCAATAAAATCCGTGTGCTTGGCTTCCCTCAGGCCTTCTCCCATCTGTTAAACCTGATTCTGTAACCCGGCTCCCGAGAGCTGCCCTGTAAGTCTGTGTACACCACTGTTTTGCATTCAGTATTGTCAAAGGCCGTGACTGTCGTTTTAGTAAACTTGTTGAAATCGGCTGATGTCAGAGTTGTGTGTAGACACAGTTCCACGCCCCCTTTCCGGATACATCATAATTGATTCATTAATTAGAAGAACTGGTACCACTTCCGCCGCAGGGATGCTCAGCGGCTCTTAATTCTGGCGGGCCAGCTCACTGTCCAAGAACCTCCTCGCCTTCTTCTGCTGTCAGTTTTTGCCAATTAGAATTATGATCTACTCCGATGTTATGGTCCCAGAACAATAACAACAAATCTGGCAGTTTTCGTTTTGGAAGTTTCTTTTCAGCACATTTGTTGTTAGGGGGTTTGAGATTGTTAAGGGTTGAATTTCTTTTTTTTTTTTTTTCCTTGGCTTCGGTTTTTGTTTTACTCTGTGTAAAAGTGGTTTGCATCTTCCGAGGCACATAGGAAAATGTTTTTTTAACTATTTGTAACAGAAATAATTGTAGAGTTACCGAGGAGCAGAAGTGGAACGTGAGTCATCTGCACACAGAAGAGCAATGTGGTCCTGATAGATTCCCCAGGAGTTTCTTCTGCCTCCCCATCCTCTGCTGACTCCTCCTGCAGCCCCAAGGGGAACTGATGGTAAAGGCTGGTACCACAGGAGGGAGTCAGACCTGGGTTCAAATTCCAGCTCCTCCCCATGACTGCAGGGCTTTAAAGGCACCCTGAGCCCAGGTTTCCTGGAGTCAGAGTCAGATGTGGGGCTTGCCTACCCCACAGGCTGCCATAGGTAGGCCCCATAACCACGGTAGGCACCCCAGAGTCCCAGCATGGTGTAGATATTCAAGAACAGAAGTTCCTTACCCTTCCCTCCTCTCCTTCTCCTTACTTAGGTATTGTGCTCCTCTGTATGGTTTTGGTTTTAGGGTTTCATTTTGTTCTCCCCACCCCTAGCTTGATTGAGATATAATTGACATGTAATACTGTGTAAGTTCAAGGCGTGCAATGTGATGATTTGACACATGTACATATTGTGAAATGTTTACCACTGTAAAGTTACTTAGCACACCTTTCACCTCATGTAATTGCCATTGTTGTTACTATGGAAACATTTAAAATCTACTCATCACTCCTTTCAGGTGTATAGTACAGTATTGTCATCATGGTCACCAAGCTGTACATTCGATCCCCCAAATCTTCTTCCTCTTAAAATTTGAAATTTGTACTCTCCTCTTCCCCATCCCCAAACCCTGGCAACCGAAATTCTGCTCTTTGCTTCTGTGAGTTCAGCTTTGTTGTTGTTGGTTAGTTCAGTCGTGTCTAACTCATTTTTGACTCCATGGATTGTAGCCCACCAGGCGTCTCTGTTCATGGGATTCCCCAGGCCACAATACCAGAATGGGTTGCCTTTCCCTTCTCCAGGGGATCTTGCCTACCTAGGGATGGAACCCAGGTCCTCTGCACTGCAGGTGGATTCTTTACCACTGAGCCACCAGCTTTTTTAGTCTACTGTACTTGAGCTCTGTATCATTTTTGGTTGACTCATCACTTTGGATGTAAAAACCCCAACTGGAGGGAACCTTCCAGGTGCCTACTAATCCCAGGAGTGTCCACAATAGCCCAAGGGGTCATTTGGTGATGGTCACACCTGTCCTGCCAAGGCAGACACTAGTGGTAACCTTCAGGCACTTTTCCCCTGGGAAAACTGGGACACTCACCACGCCGCCCCCCCCCCCCCCCCCCCCCCCCCCCCAGAGGACGAACTGGGCAGCAGTTCATCCCTTGGGATCTGGAGCCTAAGGACTCCAGTCTCCCATCTGGGTAGAGTTGCAAGGTACCCACCAACCCACTATGGACCCTGCATTCCTGTTCTGAAACCCTGTCTGGTCACTTCCCTGGTTTGGCCTGCCTTCCACTAAGGCCTATGTGTACCCTCTACCTGAAGCAGCCTGCACCCCGAGATCTGGCTATTACACATACCAAACTGAGTCTGTGTCCTTTATGGAACATGAAACTCTTGCAACAGTCTCAGCAAACAGCAGTGACTTTGATGAAGAGCATCATCAGCCCAAACTTGATTCTGGATGCTCAAAACCTGAGGGCAGAAAGTGAAGAACTGACTACATGCCCACCATGGGCTGAGCACTGTCAGACTCTGCCACCCCCATGAGTTGTCACAGACATGTGGAGGTGGCAGTTGTCGTCTTGTGTTTACAGGTGATGAAACCAAGGCCTGAGGATTTAATCTGCCTGAGGATTTAACTTGAGCAGGTAAGTGGCAGAGGGAAGACGGAAGTCCCTGTTTGAGAGATGACACAGAGCTGTTTCCTTGTCACTGGTCCCCCTGCCCAATGCAGCCTTGCATTTCTGAATGAAGAGCACAGTCCTAAGGAAATGGAAAGCTTGTTCTCTGCTTGGAAACCTGTGGAAGCTCTTGCTCCAGGAGCCTATGTCAAGAACACAGTAAGCCTACCCATAGAATTATTATAGTTGCTGTTTAGAGGCTGTCATGTCCAACTCTTTTTGACTCCATGGACTGTAGCACACCAGGCTCCTTTGTCCATGAGATTTCCCATGCAAGAACACCAGAGTGGGTTGCCATTTCCTTCTCCAGGAGATCTTCCTGACCCAGGGATCGAACCTGCATCTCTTGCATTTCCTGCATTGGCAGTTGGAGTCTTCACCAGGGAATCCCACCAACAGGATCCTGCCAAACTTGGAATTGGCCCATCTCGGTTCTCAGGTTGGAGTTAAGGAGCCCTTAGGTTCCTATTCTGGAATATCTACTACATGGGTTTAGGGCCTGTCTGGCTGCCTGAGAAGACGGGCTTGGGTGATGGAGACCCTGGAGTCATCTGGGAAGGCATGGTCCCTAAATAGCAGGGCTGAGTTCCCCTGGCCCTGCCATGAAGGGAAGGAGCTTGCCTCAATGTCAAGAGCGTGTCTGGAGCAGCCTGCTTCCAGGTTGAGCACACTCAGGGACGAGAGTGAAGCTGAGGGTGATGAAAGCCAGCCTCAGAGAAACTCCAGCTTCAGGCCGTGTGGGGCTCTGCCCTCCTCATTCTGGGGGACACAGTTCCCTCTCGGCAACTGTCCCAGCATCAGAGGACATCCAAGGTCAGCCAAGGCCAATGTGTTAGTTTCACAGGCAGATTCCTCCATAAGGTCTGCAGGAGAACTTGTGCACCCAACACACACCTCTGCCATTATGATGGCTCATGGCTGAACTCACCTCTGAGACAGGAGGGCCATGGAGGGCAGGGGTCTGGCTCCTGGAGATGCCCTTGGTGTCCGTCATCCTCCCCTGGCACCTGTTTTCTGGCTGGAACTTTGTTAAGCAGAGAGGTGTGTTACAGGGTGAGCAGCCTGGCTGGGTGACAGGTCCTAGCCTGGCTTTGTTGTCAGTGACTGGCTGCGTGACCTTGGCTAACTCACCCATCCCAAGGGCATTTCAGCATCTTGAGCTCCTACTGCAGAGAGGGCCAGCGTCCAGGCTGTCAGTCCTCTCTTCCTTGACAGATGCTCAAAAACTCTGTTGGCCACTGGTGGAGGCTTCTCTGTACACTTGCATAAGGTCCCCCCCACCCCACTTCATGCTGTGTGAACTTGACTAAGTTACTTAACCTCTCTGAGCCTTTGTTCCTTTGTCTTGAAAATGAGGGGAGTGCCTATATCATTAGATCGTTTTGCAACATCATGGAAGCAGCCGGTTCCTGGCCTGTCAGAAGCCCCCTAAGAGTGACTCCCTGGTGATTAGGCTTGGGGAGACTTTTAGTAGCCCTCACTCTGGAATTCTAGGAGGAATTTCCCAACTGCATGGTGGATGATTGGTCTTAATTAAGAGTCTAAATCACCCACCCGCCTCGGAGGCACTCCCCAGGTTCGTGTTCACCTGCTCCCCTTCCACGGGTCTCTTGTACTCTTTTAGTGCAAACCCAGATGGAGCTGCAACCCCAAAGACTGGTTCTCTCCCCAAGAAGCTTCTTCAGCCTAAGCCCCTACCTCCAAGTCCCCACCCCCAGATCTAAGGAGACCCAAACCCTTTACACCCGTCTTCTCAAGTTACTCCTCCATGGGCTGCTCTTGCAGCACCCGTGTTTTCATGACAGGCTGAAAGGCAAGCGCCTCTGGGTTGACCAGAAACCCCGGGCTTTTGTCTAGTTCAGATGGAGGGTGGCCTGGCTTGGACAAGCAGAACCACAGGGAGGTCACAGGCGCTCTCAAGGGCCGCGGGTTTGTTTCTTCCTGCCCTGGGCCTTGTATACATGGAACAAAAGGCCAACCGACCAAGGACGGATGGTCTGAGGTGTGGGCCAGGGGCAGGGAGGGCCCAGGAGATGGAGAGGCCAAGGCGCACACGTATCAAGAGAATTTTCTAGAAGCTGGCTACCGCTGAGGCGTCTGGCTGAATTGGATTGGTGCAGGACTCAGTAATGACATTGAGTGTACCATTATAGAAACCTCGGTGGCAAGAAAACATAAAAGTTTATTAGGAAATGGTGAAGCACAGTTTAATGGATTAGATGGCTTTTCACATGGAGATACAGGGAGGTGGGTGGATGTGCACGTGTGTGTTTACATGTATCCGTGTTTGTGTGTATGTGTGTAGCTGCTTTGATTTCTCAACCATTGATGTATTGCATTTTTTTAAGGAAAGGTAATGCTTGAAAAGAATGTTCCAGAACATGAGTTTAACCTTTAGGAGACTGAGCTGGTAGCCAGCTGGGGAGCATATGGAACAAACATTCTTGGGACTAGGAAACAGGCGGGTTGGGATTCAGGATTTACAGGCAGAAAAGGCATCAGGCAGTTTCCAGCAGCCTAAACAGAAGGGGCTGAAGCTGTGTGCTTTCTGATTGGGCAGGGAAGTGCCGGAGACTGGTGCTGGGGTGAAGGACTGAAAGGGAAGGTCAGCCTGAAGAATAAATAATCACAGTAGTGGTGATCACATACCGGCTGCTTCTTCCCTGTAAGGCTCTATGTGTACACTCCAGGAGTTTTAACTCTTTTGTGCCGTTGAGGACACAGGTTAACGAAATTTAGATAACTTAACCAGAGATGGTATGGCTGGTAAGGGGACATGCCCAGAGGGGAACCTGAGAGGTCTGGAAGCACTTGCTCTGAAGACCGCGATGGGGAGGGCACTGAGTGCCTTAGGAGACCTTGACCTGAATTTCAATGTGAGTGAGATGAGTGGCAGGCGTGTGGCACAAGGAACAATTAACAGGTCAACACAACAGGGATTTCCAGCAATTGTTCTACCTGAGGGAGATGCCAGACTCACCAGCACTGTGGCTCACAGCAGAGGGGACTTGAACTGGATCTAGAATCTTCATGCCCAACCCCCACAAACCATCCATCCCGGACCTGGTAACTTATCAATCACCATACTAGCTGGAAAGTGATTGTACCTTTTCCCTGAAGGATAAAAAGCAGCATGGCTGCAATATTTGGATCTTTTGCAAAAGGATAGGAGAGAGGAATTTCAAATTGGGACAGAATTTTTTACCCTCCCTTACAAGCTTTTATCCATTCAATGCATTTTTTTAAATCCTTTTGAACACCTTTTAGGCAGCAGGCGGCTTCCCTGATAGCTCAGTTGATAAAGAATCCACCTGCAATGCAGAAGACCCAGGTTGGATTCCTGGGTTGGAAGATCCCCTGAAGAAGGGAAAGGCTACCCACTCCAGTATTCTGGCCTGGAGAAAAGAGTCGGACACAAGTGAGTGACTTTCACTTCACTCACTAGGCGGCAGGCATTTAACTGTATGGATTCAGCAAAAGAGATGTCATCTCTCCTGAAAGAACAGTGAATAAAAAGGATGAGACCCTCAAGTATAACCACTGCGAGTAATATTCATGTCTTCTCCATGAGCACCTGCTCACAAAGAGTTGGTGCTTTTGGGGAGCTTCCCTGGTGACTCAGATGGTAAAGACTCTGCCTGCAGTGCAGAGACCCAGGTTCAATCCCTGGATCTCTGGAGATCCCCACGATCTCCTGGAGAAGGGAATGGCAACCCACTCCAGTTTTCTTGCCTGGAGAATCCCATGGACAGAGGAGCCATTCATGTCCTCTCCATGAGCACCTGCTCACAAGGAGTTTGTACTGTTTTAAAACAACTCTAATTATCTGATAGA